TAGTAACATTGAAGAATATAATAGAACGGTGAAGGTACTAATACAAATTTAATATTAAATACAATTTTTAATTTAAAAAATTGTAATTGGAAAGCTTTTCTCACAAGTAAATATTGTACATTTAATGCTCAGCGGGAAATTAAGGTGATAATAAAACGCAATGGCGATCCCAACAACAATAAATATGTATTGTACAGTTACTTCCTGCGTATACAAGAGATTATATAAATTATTAAAAATATACATGCGAATATACTTTGTACACAACAATACATAAAATATAGTAGAATTTATATTTTTACAATATCTTTTTATAATAGACTTTGTATAATTCCAAAATAATTATCCTTCTATGTCTCGCGAAGGAAAACTAATTTCCTTCCTTTAACATGAACACTGTAGGTAAGCATTTTGATGTAAGTAACAATATGAAATGGAATATCATCTTATAATATTACTGTTCGAAATAAATATGCACCAAGTGTTTTGGTTGTAAATATATCTAAGGCTACTGTAGCGGTCTATTTTGTGCAAACAAGTTTGTAATATTAGTCTTAATAAAACAAGACTAAGAGAAAGAAAATCCATTACTTTCACTCTCAGGTACATATTGTGGTCTTCGATCTAACGAGCATCTAACCCGCGGTAATTATATGTTTAAACATTGTTAAAGATCTCAACGAATGTGTAACTAGTTCAGTCTCAGATAACAATGTTTCGAGATTATTTGATTAAGATAAGATGCATCACTAAATACAAAATATTCTAAGAATAATATTTTTTAATTTCAGCGAGCAATGGCGTTTCTGTCAATTCATTGATCTCCACGAATCGTTTGCTCCCTCTGCTGAAGTAGTAAATGTCGCCAGTGTAAATATCAAACCACAAAGCATGAATATGCAGATCATGTCTTTCGAGTCGCTTCTTTAAAAACCCGTAGGAAGCTACGTTTTGCAACTGTTGGAGGGTATTCACCTGAAACGAGATACATTTCTCATTTAAAATAAATTATAATATATATATAATGTATAGATTTACTTTCTTATAAATTAGAGAACATCAAAGAACATATATTAAATTATAAAAGAACGTATTTTAAAAGCATTGCATTGTTAGAAAATTAAAAATAAATTATATACATCTTACAACTAACTTGAGATAATTTGTCTTCTATAGTAAATTTATTTTCTGGATCGATGTAAGCTACGAACTTTCGCAACGGTGTTTCAGCTTGAAAAATTATAGGCTGGTGGTAGCCAGTTACTTCAAGCTGCTGAAATTTTGCTAAACTGCTGCTAGCATGTGCACACAGCCACGCTCTTAGCGGTGATATCCTCCTGTTCGCCTAAGAGAAAAATATAGAAATGTTTACAGTCGTGCAGTTGACACTATTATTATTTATACAATTAATTCTCAGCTTGCAGAATTTTGTCTAAACATTTTACTAATATTTCTTAGTGTTACTATAAATTCTTTAAGCTAAATTTCCTCAGGCATAGTTACTTCATTTGATAAAAAAAGAAGAGTTCTGTGTTTGTAATGACTACCATATAAAGGATTTTATTTGCCAAAAAAACAATATTCTAAAATACTCAAGATCAATTTTATTCTTAAGGAGTTGTGCAGAGGAATAATGTGATAAGATTACTCGAGGATAATACTTTGAAGAAGTATGGAGGGGACAATGACTTTGTGTGACCTTGTGTGATCCTTTTATTCCTGGAAAGGACAATGTGATTCCAAATCTCTTTTAGAATAACACTGTAAAAATAAAATATAATTATAGTAAGTGAAATCTTGACTTATGTTCTAATAAATACCTAATTGGTCCCTGGGGACCAAATTCAGTGATATCAAAACTGGAAACCTTATTCTAGTTTTTAATTTAATTCATAAATAGGACTCACCTTAGAGGCAAATTCTTCATCCCGCAAAGCATACAACAAATTCATAGCTTTACAATCGCTGTGTCCACAAACTATAACATGCCTTATGCTGTTTACCACACAGCCAAGTTCTAAAGCCGCGGGCTCGCACATCGTCAGCTCGTCCGGAAAATGCTGAGAATGAGGTACGACATTACCGGCATTTCGAACTGAAAAAGAAAAATACATTACATACTATTTCTTCAGATACCACGTTTTAGGGAACCCGCGACTACCGACTCGGTTCTACAGGATGTCTCGTTTGAATTTTACAAACCGTTTTTTTTTCAAAAGCGAATAAACGACAAGAAATTTTTTCCCATTCATGTTTTGAATGTCATTGAAGTTACATAGTATTTATTACAAGTCCATCAATTTCTTATCAATGTAATTGTAAATATGTAGACAACATTTAAATTTGAAAGAAGAGTTATTTAATCATTTTCAATAGTTATTTGATAAACAAATTGCAAAAGTTATTGAGAAATTAATTGAATACACATAGTTTTGAAAAAAAAAGAATTTCAAATTGCGCTATCGCAAAGTTCGATTTCGAAAATTATTACAGCTTAATTGAAAATGTTATTTTTTGAAGAAAGTCTGTAGTATCGATGCTCGTTACAACGATAGGTGAGATTAAAATGTATCGCGGTACGAAAATGGTAAAGTAGTCTTCACATTCGAACAAATGATATTTCAGTGAAGTGTCGTACCGACAAACATGTCCCCAACGTTCGTTTCCGTAAATCTAGTTGGGATCATCCGGGAGTCCATGCAGGTAAAGAATACTGCTTTTGGCTGTGATAAGAGTAACGACAGAAGTCAATTACGGCAATAATTATTAACATCGCACGAGTTATATTATGGATTCAAATTAGCTTTTTCTTTGTAGTGTGTTGATGCATTATGCAGATTTGGAATTTTATTTCGAACACCATTTCATTAAGACAAGTAAATTCCATACATAATGTATATAAATAAAGGATATAACAAAATGATATAAATCTACAAATTTTATTTTTAAAGTCAACATGTCAAATTCAACTAACCCTCTACATCATACATACACGATAAAATGTTTCAAATCTTGAAAATATGATAAACATTCGTAAAAAAAAGTAAAAACAATTACGCCAACTTAAACATTAAGTTTTCTGTTTGTTTTATTGATAAAGTCACTTTTAATGCATAAATTTTGGTTTCGTTAATTTATTAATGTAAGATAATGTTATTCCTAGTACGTAATTTGAATCGCACGTGTACGAACGTTTTGTTCCTCTTATCAGTAAGTCTGTGGTCAAGGGCGTAATATAAGTTCATAATCAAGAGATACATGCTCCTGCGCCCAAAATATTATGAACATTATCAAAAGTATGTAATTTTTAATAACTTTCAACATATAATACAGATTATGTTTTGGTCTTTTAAAAAATAATCATTAAAAATTATCCTTTGTACATATTACTAAAAACGAACGTACAAAAATATTAACGTGTCCCATGCACGATTATAAGAAATTTGAATAAATCAATTTTGACACACCTCAGGATGATCTCGAACTTGTTGAAATTGCTTCACCATTCCATCTCTATGCCATTTTCTGTAATTCATGATTCCTTTGATTATTCTATCCATTATTACGTTTAAAGGCACTTCACTAACTAAACTCTATCAACACAAAACTGATGACAACACATATATCCGCCATTACCAATCAAATGGCGGAAAATTCAAATGCTCTTAAGGAATAGTGAAACTATTACAGTTAATTACA